GTTTGTGAGAGATACAAGTATAAATAGTAACTGTTTGTAAGAATACAAGTATAAATAGTAACTGTCTGTGAGAGATACAAGTATAAATAGTAACTGTCTGTGAGAGATACAAGTATAAATAGTAACTGTTTGTGAGAGATACAAGTATAAATAGTAACTGTCTGTGAGAGATACAAGTATAAATAGTAACTGTTTGTGAGAGATACAAGTATAAATAGTAACTGTCTGTGAGAGATACAAGTATAAATAGTAACTGTTTGTGAGAGATACAAGTATAAATAGTAACTGTCTGTGAGAGATACAAGTATAAATAGTAACTGTTTGTGAGAGATACAAGTATAAATAGTAACTGTTTGTGAGAGATACAAGTATAAATAGTAACTGTTTGTGAGAGATACAAGTATAAATAGTAACTGTTTGTGAGAGATACAAGTATAAGTAGTAACTGTCTGTGAGAGATACAAGTATAAATAGTAACTGTTTGTGAGAGATACAAGTATAAATAGTAACTGTTTGTGAGAGATACAAGTATAAATAGTAACTGTTTGTGAGAGATACAAGTATAAATAGTAACTGTTTGTGAGAGATACAAGTATAAATAGTAACTGTTTGTGAGAGATACAAGTATAAATAGTAACTGTTTGTGAGAGATACAAGTATAAATAGTAACTGTTTGTGAGAGATACAAGTATAAATAGTAACTGTTTGTGAGAGATACAAGTATAAATAGTAACTGTTTGTGAGAGATACAAGTATAAATAGTAACTGTTTGTGAGAGATACAAGTATAAATAGTAACTGTCTGTGAGAGATACAAGTATAAATAGTAACTGTTTGTGAGAGATACAAGTATAAATAGTAACTGTTTGTGAGAGATACAAGTATAAATAGTAACTGTTTGTGAGAGATACAAGTATAAATAGTAACTGTTTGTGAGGCCTGAAATTATAAATAGTATTAACTGTTTGTGAGAAGATGAGAGTATATAAATAGTAACTTTGTTTGTGAGAGATGCACAAGTATAAATGAAACTGTTTGTAGAGATGCAAGTATAAACAATAACTGTTTGAGAGATGCAAATTATAAATAAACTGTTTGTGAGAGATACAAGTATAAATAGTAACTGTTTGTGAGAGATACAAGTATAAATAGTAACTGTTTGTGAGAGATACAAGTATAAATAGTAACTGTCTGTGAGAGATACAAGTATAAATAGTAACTGTTTGTGAGAGATACAAGTATAAATAGTAACTGTTTGTGAGAGATACAAGTATAAATAGTAACTGTTTGTGAGAGATACAAGTATAAATAGTAACTGTTTGTGAGAGATACAAGTATAAATAGTAACTGTTTGTGAGAGATACAAGTATAAGTAGTAACTGTCTGTGAGAGATACAAGTATAAATAGTAACTGTTTGTGAGAGATACAAGTATAAATAGTAACTGTTTGTGAGAGATACAAGTATAAATAGTAACTGTTTGTGAGAGATACAAGTATAAATAGTAACTGTCTGTGAGAGATACAAGTATAAATAGTAACTGTCTGTGAGAGATACAAGTATAAATAGTAACTGTTTGTGAGAGATACAAGTATAAATAGTAACTGTTTGTGAGATAGAGATACAAGTATAAATAGTAACTGTCTGTGAGAGATACAAGTATAAATAGTAACTGTTTGTGAGAGATACAAGTATAAATAGTAACTGTTTGTGAGAGATACAAGTATAAATAGTAACTGTTTGTGAGAGATACAAGTATAAATAGTAACTGTCTGTGAGAGATACAAGTATAAATAGTAACTGTTTGTGAGAGATACAAGTATAAATAGTAACTGTTTGTGAGAGATACAAGTATAAATAGTAACTGTCTGTGAGAGATACAAGTATAAATAGTAACTGTCTGTGAGAGATACAAGTATAAATAGTAACTGTTTGTGAGAGATACAAGTATAAATAGTAACTGTTTGTGAGAGATACAAGTATAAATAGTAACTGTCTGTGAGAGATACAAGTATAAATAGTAACTGTTTGTGAGAGATACAAGTATAAATAGTAACTGTCTGTGAGAGATACAAGTATAAATAGTAACTGTTTGTGAGAGATACAAGTATAAATAGTAACTGTTTGTGAGAGATACAAGTATAAATAGTAACTGTCTGTGAGAGATACATGCAGCAGCAGGCGGGTGTCTTCCCACCAGCACCACACACCACTGTGCCCACACTGGCCCTCCTCTTCCTCCCAGCCTCACACACGCTTCCATATGAGGACATCTGGCAACTTTGTATCTCGTTGCCTCTGTACTTATTTTACAAGTGTTAATAATACACCAAAAATAGCCTTTATTAAGATAAGACCTGGTTAAGCGAGGTGGCTGGTGACTGACCCTGTGGTTAGAGACATAGGGGGTACGACCTTAGAGGAGAGGAGAGAGGGAGAGATTATTACTATGACTTCAATGATGTTTTTCCCTGTCTCATATTTGTATTTTCATCTCTCATAGTTTTTAATTGTTGATTGATTTTTATAACTACTCATATATTATAACACACACACACACACACACACACACACACACACACACACACACACACACACACACACACACGAACTGGCTCGCCCTGACCTGGCTGGTCTTAGGTCAATAAGCATAAGCAGGTCCTGAGGTCAGTGAGGACCCCAAGAACTGCTTGTGGGAGAGGAGAAGGGAGACGGTGGAGGGGAACCTTACACACCAGTAACACCTTATATTGTATGGTACTGGTAAGGTCGGTATATATTTTCACCACAATAATAATAGTATTATCATAGCCAATATTTTCTCTTCGCTTGTGAAAATGTGACAGTAAAAGTGTGTAATGAATCATTTCGTAAAATGACGAGTCATCTTGTGTAATGTAAACTAACTTAATCTAATTTTAATCTATCCAAACCTATTTTATCCTATTCTTACCTAATCTAACCTAGCCTAACTTAACCTAACATTAGATTGGTTAGGTTAAACCAATTTTGGTTAGATTTAGTTAGGTATCCTAATGAATCCTGCCTAGCCTAGCCTAAGCTAACCTAACCTAACCTAACCTAACCTGACCACGGCTAACTTAACTAATCTAATGTTCAGTTAAGTTATGGAAGGTTAGGCTTGATAAAGATAGTATACAATTGGTTTTGCTAGATTAGGGTTGATTAAATTTGTTTACATTACACAAGTTGACAAGTCATTACACGAAATGGCTGATCACACACTTTGACCGTAATATATATATGTCTCTCTATCTCTCTCTCTCTTTACCGTTTTCTGTGTTTGTCACTCTTTTATTCTTACATTGGATCTGTGTCTCGTTTTCTCTATATCGCGTTTATATCCATTTATCTGTTTGTGTGTCACTCTCTCTTGGTCTCCTTCAGCCATTCACTCACCGTCTCAAGATACTCACACGACGATGAATTCAACTTTACTCTTTATGGCTCACCCTCGACAGGAGTCCCTCAGCTTGTAGTCCAGAGTCAGCGACCACATCCAAGTAGGTCGAGTTGTGAGACCAGGGGTCAGTCATGGCTCGGGGAGGTGGGGAGGTACAGAAGGTGGGAAGTTGGGGAGGTACAAAAGGTGGGGAGGTACAAAAAGGTGGGAAGTTGGGGAGGTGCAAAAGGTGGGAAGGTGGAAGGTACAAACGGTGGGGAGGCACAAAAGGTGGGAAGGCGGGGATATACAAAAGGTGGGGAGGTGGGGAGGTACAAAAGGTGGGAAGGCGGGGAGGTATGGACAAGTGGGAAGACAGGAAGGTGCGGAGAGGTGGGGAGACGGGGAGGTACGGGGAGCCAACACCTACTAAAATGTCATCAGGAAGTCAGGTCAGCAGGAGGTGTTTTGGCTGCAGGTAGCGGCGGCCTTGGGTGGTCCTGCAGAGGCGAGGAGAGGCGTCGTCAGCTTAACGTTCAGGAAGTTGCCCGTGTAGTGATGATGAAGGTACAACAAGCTAGATCCACGCGTCCTTGGTGGGTTAAATTATGGGTAGGTAGGAAGAGAGGTTGGTGTCCTCCAGAGCTGGTAGAGGAGGAGGAGGGGGTGCTAGTGACCTATGCCCCGCCCCCCCCCCCCATTACTGAATTATCTCCTCCTTAATCCCGACCGTCTAATTCCCACTGCCTTCTCTTTTATCCCCATCTCGGCCTCTTTTCAACACCTCTGACACCCTAACCTTCATTCCCGTATCTCTTAACTGTACTTTTGACCGTCTCTTTACCTCAATTCTCTTCCCCCTATTTAACCCCTTCTCATATTATCTTCTCTACCCTTCTATCTCAGTTCTTGACCCCACATCCTGTGTCACCCCCTACCCCAGTTCCTGATCCCTCACCCCTGTCGCCCCCTACCCCAGTTTCTGAGCCCTCACCCCTGTCACCCCCTCCCCCAGTTCCTGATCCCTCACCCTGTCACCCCTCCCCCAGTTCCTGACCTCACACCTTGTATCACATCCCCCAGTTCCTGATCCCTCACCCCTGTCACCCCCTCCCCCAGTTCCTGACCTCACACCTTGTATCACATCCCCTAGTTCCTGATCCCTCACCCCATGTCATCCCCTCCCCTAACTCCTGAACTCGTGGCAGTAGGGTATCAGGTGACCACAGAAGAGGTGCACCGACGCTAAGTGGGGTTGGTGGTGATATACAGGCAGGTGTGGTGTCCCCAGATGAAGCGTCCTTGTAGGGTTGGTGTCCCGGGGTGAAGGCGTCCTCGGAAGGTTGGTGTCCTCGGTAGGATGACAGTAGCGAAGGGAGGGGAGGGAGGGGGAGCGAGGCTGAACTAGCACTCGTCCTAGGTGTGCTGGGGCGGGCCAGGCACACTTCTCTCGCGCCACCAGTGCCAGACGCTCATACAGCCGCCGCTGCTCCGCTCCACTCTTACCTCTAGTGCCTCATGCAGCACCAGAGAATCATCACATGTTCCCTACAAGAGGTACCTCAGCTAATGACGAACTTATCTCCAAGTTATTGTCTGTTAACTATAAACTTAGATATCGCAAACAACTCTCGTTTTTCGTGATATACCTTAAGAAGCGTCGTATAGAAACCTAACACAGTTGAAAGTTCAGTGGCACAGTTTATATTATGTGGTAAAAACAGTGTTGCAGCCCAGGAAGAATGCTCAATGGTTCTGAAAGTGAATTTTCTCGTGTTACCTGTGGCTACAGTTGTGCTTGAAACAGACAAATGTTGTGAGTAACAGAAGAGAGAGAAAGTGGTGGTGTTGTGTGAGGGGGAGACAAGACAAGTGGAAAGACCGCGGTTACTCCTCCACCCCGCCACACGTACACACATAAATGTCGGCAACCTGAAATCCGCTACTCTCTTGTGCCACTGACATGATCCCTAAAACAGCTTTTTTTCTTTACAAACCTTTCGAGTGTAAGGATGATACTGTGTTCGTTCTATTGTCGTGTTGTGCCTTGTTGTCTATAAGACTTAAAACTTTTGAAATTTCCTCAAGCTATCTGAGTGAACTAATACTTTCATAGTAGAATACTCCCTTATCATAAAATATTTTCTACGTTAGAACAAAAACCAAATATGTTGCTTTAGTAGACGAATTAAGTACCTGGTGTAAAATACTTGAGATTTGCACAATCTAAACAAGTTATCGATGACATGATCTAAGGATACAATTTACAAAATACTTTCTTGTTTAAACAAGATCGAGATGACTTGTCTGTGTGTTTATTTTAGTGTTTTAGTTGATTAGTGGCTGTTTGATGTAACTACAGTATAATGTTGATCCACTGATGAACTGTGAGTAACGTGTTTACTGTCTTCAGGTTAGGATCTGTTGATAGGCAGTGTAGTGAAGAACAAGTTTACGGTAAAATGAGTCGAATGTTGTATCTATTGTTTGTGTGTGTGTGTGTGTGTGTGTGTGTGTGTGTGTGTGTGTGTGTGTGTGTGTGTGTGTGTGTGTGTGTGTGTGTGTGTGTGTGTGTGTGTGTGTGTTGTGTGTGTGTGTGTGTGTGTGTGTGTGTGTGAGTGTGTTGTGTGTTGTGTGTGTGTGTGTGTGTGTGTGCGTGTGTGTGTGTGTGTGTTGTGTGGTGTGTGTGTGTGTGTGTGTGTGTGTGTGTGTGTGTGTGTGTGTGTGTGTGTGTGTGTGGTGTGTGTGTTGTGTGTGTGTGTGTGTGTGTGTGTGTGTGTGTGTGTATACAGATGTGTTTATATAAGAGCACATGTTTATATGTAGAGCTATGAAGACACACACACACACACACACACACACACGAGAAAAAACTTGATTAAGCACAAGGAAACATGTAGCGAGAGCGCGAGCAGCGACTCACTGGTGTACACTGAAGGGAAAGTCGAAAAGACAGGGAAAGTTACCGTCAGTATGGACAACAGAGAACGGGTGCTCAGGTGGATGATGAAATGGACATGGAGGGAAGGGGATAACGAAAGGGAGATAAGGGAGGAGGAGGAAAGAGATGAATGACATAGTAGAGATTAAGGGAAAATTTAACTGTGTGTTTAAGAAGGAGAAGGCTGATGAAAGGAGGAATAAAGGGGAACAGAAAGGGAGATTGTGGTGATTAGGGGTGATTAGGGGTGATTAGGGGTAATTAGAGATAGTTAGAATGTGACTAGAAGTGCTCAAGAGAAAGATTTATAAAGGGGAAGGGAGGAATATTGATAAAAATTAGTCGCAGAAGATAAGAGAGGAGGTTAAAGTAAGGAAGGAGATGAATAAATATAAAGGAGAGGAGGAGAGAGAGATAAAGAGAGTGGGAAGTATATTAATAAAGAATGGAGAGGAAGACGTTGGGGGAATGAAAGGGAGGATTGAGAAGAAGATAGGAAGAACGACGTGGATGAAGGGAAGAGATGGGAAGGAAGATGGGGACGATACACCATTAGGTGGGACAAGGCCTACAGGTGGCGAGTCGACCTTGGCATTGGGCAAGTGGGACACAGCGGCCAGGGGTGATGGGGCCATTGAGGGGTGATAGGTGTTAGAGGGTAATAGGAGGTGGTGAGGGGTAATGGTGGGTGATAGGGAGGTGATGAGGGGTAATGGTGGGTGATAGGGAGGTGATGAGGGGTAATGGTGGGTGATAGGGAGGTGATAAGGTAATGGTGGGTGATAGGGAGGTGGTGAGGGGTAATGGTGGGTGATAGGGAGGTGGTGAGGGGTAATGGTGGGTGATAGGGAGGTGATGAGGGTAATGGTGGGTGATAGGGAGGTGATGAGGGGTAATGGTGGGTGATAGGGAGGTAATGAGGGGTAATGGTGGGTGATAGGGAGGTGGTGAGGGGTAATGGTGGGTGATAGGGAGGTGATGAGGTGGTGATGAAGGAAGGGGATACTGAATAAACGATAAAACAGAAGAATAAAGAATACCAGGAGCAGATGTTATGAGTGATAATATACAATAATGGAGAAATAATGAGAAATAATGATAACGAAAGAAACAGTAAGGAAAAAAAGGTAAAATAGGTGATAGATGATAAACGAACAGGCATAACGGATGAGGAATGAGAGAAAACGTGAACAGAAAAAGCACAGGCGGTGTGTGTGTGAGGAACGGTAAATTATGTGATTCCCTAGGGCTCCGTTACCCACCGTTAACACCGTCCGTTATTGCCAACTTTCACTATAACTTACCGTTATTTGGAGCTTACTGTTTTTTTTCCTCCTTACTGTTTTTGTCGTTTGACGTCTTGGTAAAACGGAAGGAGTAGGGATGATGAGGAGAGAGAGAGAGAGAGAGAGAGAGAGAGAGTTAATAGAATAAGGGAAAGGGAAGAAGAGGATAAATGAAGGGGAGAACGACAATAAAAAGAGATATAATTAGCATCTTTAAAAACAAAACGAGAAATAAGAGAAGGAAATGAAGAAGAAAGAATAGAAACACAGACGTGAAGTAAAACAACGGATGAGGATCAACTGCAACCAGTCTTAGAGAGATTGAAAGTTGACGAGACGCAGAACAGCAGCAGTAGAGGTTGAGTGTTTTGCAATCTCTATCGACGAGACTACTGCTGCCTCATGTACATTTAGGTAACGAGGTATTAGAAAGTGCTACTACCGCTGGGCATCTCTCTTAGTGCCCACTGTTAAAAAACAACTTATAATTGCGTTATTAATTTAGGTATGAAGGAATTTGGGTGTGTTATCTGGTGTACAGCAATGGTGGATAAAGGTAACTTGGATATATGGTTCAATCATGGTTGACTGACTGCTTGATTGGTTAATTGGGTGGATGGTTGGCTGGCTGGCTGGTCCTTGTGTGTGAGTGTCGAGTACTGGACAAGAAAGTGAAACTTATAGGAGCTGTTGTTAAACAAGTTGTTCCCCCTCCCACCTCTCTCTCCTTCCCATCCTCCTTACTACCAGTCCCTCTCTCCTTCTCCCCTTCCTTACTCCCACCTCCCGGCATCCTTACTCCCACTCCCTCTCTCCGTTCATCCCTCCTTAGTCCTCTCCCTCCCTCCGTCCCTCCCTCCTTTCCACCCTCCCTCCCTCCCTCCCTCCCACCCTCCCTCCCACTCTCCCTCCCACCCTCCCTCCTCCCCTCTCCTCCCCACCCTCCCTCCCTCCCACCCCTCCCTCCTCCCTCCCTCTCCCTCCTCCCCCTCCCACCCTCCCTCCCTCCCTCCCACCTTCCAACCTCCCTCCCACCCTCCCTCCCCTCCCTCCTCCCTCCCACTCCCCACCCTCCCTCCTCCCTCCTCCTCCCTCCCACCCTCCCTCCCTCCCTCCTGCCTCCCCTCCTCCCTCCCTCCCTCCCCTCCCACTCTCCCTCCACCTCCCTCCCTCCCCCCTCCCTCCCTCCCTCCCTCCCTCCTCCCTCCCTCCCTCCCACTTTCCCTCCAACCTCCTCCCTCCCCACCCTCCTCCCTCCCACCAACCCCCATCACTTACCTCTCTGACTAACCCCACCCCTCCCCGCCCTCCTCACCCATAGCCCCACTCTGTGTGTGGAACATTATGTAACTCTTTACAATTATTCACCTCTCAACTCCCTCCTCCCCAGCTGTCAACTCCTCCTCCTCAGCTGTCTCTCCTCCTCCCCAGCTGTCAACTCCTCCTCCCAGCTGTCCACTCCCTCCTCCCAGCTGTCTACTCCTCTCCCCAACTGCTGTCTACTCCTTCCTCCCCAGCTGTCAACCTCCTCCTCAGCTGTCAACTGTCCCTCCTCCCCCAGCTGTCTCTCCCACCTCCTCCCCAGCTGTCTACTCCCTCCTCCCCAGCTGTCTACTCCCTCCTCCCCAGCTGTCTACTCCCTCCTCCCCAGCTGTCTACTCCTTCCTCCCCAGCTGTCATCTCCCTCCTCCTCAGCTGTCAACTCCCTCCTCCCCAGCTGCCTACTCACTCCTCCCCAGACCTGTTGGTTATGTATTTAATTCACAAGTCAAATAGATACAGGAGGTTGACTTCTTCAGCAATCATCCAGTAATAAGAGTGGGATATTCTGTAATCACCACAAACATCTGCCTCACAGTCTCGCGTCTCTTCTCTTCCAGCTTTCGAGTGACGCGCCAGCTGCTGTGTTTCCTCTTTAGATCTGAGAGAGAGATATTGAGAAGGAAAAGTTCATTAATAGTTTACAGTGACCAAACAATGTAAAAAGTCGCCTTTTCTCCGGTCAGAGTTTACCTTGCGTGCACGACTACCCTCAAGCGACCATTGAATTATTTTACCTCGTATTATTGAGAGGAAATTTATACGTGTACATATAAGTTTACGCAAATGAAGGAAAGATAAAGAGCGTGAAAATTTGAGAAGAAAAGAGAGAAAGAGAATAAAGTGTTAATTTGAAGTTATTGAAGTGCTTGACGGTAGTGGCATGTGTGTGTGTGTCAGCAACCGGCGGTGAAGGTGCTCTCAAGAAGGCCATGCAGGACTGACCTTCGTGTGGAACATCAGTACTACCAAAGCAACAACAACTACTACCATCACTAACGCCACTACCAACATCAGAAAACGTCAAGATGATGCGGAAAGAGTCAAAGTAAGTGAATGCATTTCAAATTTTTTATTGTATTCTTATTCATCCATGTTTGTACTCGTTATGAGAGAAGGTATTACTAACATTGTCTGTTTCAACACGCAAGTAAGTGTTATCGTGTTTTCTGTAAGCGTAAGAATAAGGTGGTGATAGAACCTAGCACTGTATGTTGATAAATTAAAGGATAATATCTACTGTGTTATAATACACAACTCCACTAATATATCGACCATTAATGGATGAAATAACCATTTCAACCATCTTCAGTTTTTCAAATGTGAAATTCTCTTCAGTCGACTCATCGTCTCCAAAGCTATTGGCGGAAAAATTGTCTCTGTTTGGGGGGGGGGGGGCTAACATTACCCCTCCACCGGCCTCCAAAGATTCTTTCCAAGAGCCATATATCCCCACACGTAACCCCCCCCCCCCTCCTCGTAGTAACCAAGATGTCTGTCAGTTTGGTGTAAAGTCACATGGTCGATTTTTTTTACACGATCTTGTGAGCACAACTGTCTTATGAACCTGCTGGGTATATCAGGGGATCAAACACGGGCCAGTAGAACAGATCGATGATCACCTGTCCACAACACTAACCGAGGCGATATACAGTTCTTACGCCTCCCGTGGCGGAAATCAAGACCAAATATCTCTGTCTTCTACAGTATTTAGTAAACAACACAAGATAGTGCCTTAGGCCCCTGTGCCTCTGCCCTCATTCATTGTATTTTATCAACGAAGGTATCTTGTCTGCCCCATACGGGAACTGTCTATGGAACCCACTTTCACTGTAGGCTCTGTATAGTCTACTACATATAAAGCATTAACGCATCTATGTTTATCTATCGCCCTTTAGTTTATTAATATATTTCTACATTGTTTTCTAAATACAATAATTCTTTAATAATTGACTATAATTACTATTACCTGGCAGGTAGACCTTCAGTTTTAATTAACGTATTCGGTTAAAACTGCCCTTCAAAGCTTTTTAGCTTTACCTTGATTTTACAATTCTCCATCAAAAGGTTAAATTACAGTATGTTAAATATCAAGAGCCGGCCAGCCGTGACTATCACCGTCATATGTTTCTTTACCCACAGTAACACATACACCTGCTGACTGTATTTGTTTTTACAACTCTCATCAGCTTATGTTACTTATGACGTCATCAACACACCTGCGGACTGTATTTGTTTTTACAACTCCCATCAGCTTCTGTTACTTATGACGTCATCAACACACCTGCTGACTGTATTTGTTTTTACAACTCTCATCAGCTTATGTTACTTATGACGTCATCAACACGTTAAAAAAGGAAACTGGTTTATGGAAGGTTTAGTCAAGAGGGTTTACATTATTTTCCTAATGTTTAAAAACCAAATGTAAGTTCATTAGTGTTCTCTTTGATTTAGTGAGTATATTTGTGTTTGCTTAACACACTTGTATAAATCAAAACACATGTTTTAAAAGTAATTACTTTGTTGTATACGACAATTTAAGACAAATTTGTATCAAATTTAAACCTAATATTCATTATATTAATAAAATTTTAATGTACGAAACAACCCAACTACATTATAACTCGTGTTTCAAAAATAATTCCAGTGAACAACTGTTGACAAAAGTCAGTTTACCTAATAAGGAACGTTTAATACCTGACGGCGGACTGGTGTTTTCCTCCCCAGCGTTACTCCCTGACCTCGATGTTACCGCGCTGGCTATTATAAGCTGCCAACATCTTCCCCGCCATAAGAGGACACCGTCATGTAGAGAGCGTGCGGTGAGCAGTGACCGATATTGTTACTGTATAATGGTGAGGAGTGAAGCAACACGCCGGGCCAGGGTAAGGTCGCCTCCACACTGTTGACAAGGTTCCTCGCTCGACATTCGTAACAGAGGGAGTGACGCAACGTAATAAATGAGGCGACGTGACGCGGGGTGTTGGTGACCATGCAGTGCGCGCTCGTGTATATGTGCGTGTGTGTGTGTGGAAATAAATGAATAAATAAATAAATATATAATTTCATAGAGAACATACATAATAACAAACACACACACACACACACACACACACACACACACACACACACACACACACACAGCCTTTTGGCTGCCATGCTCTTTCAATAAGCAGTTAATTATTATTACAGACACATTTACAACAGCCAGTTCTGCATGACTGTGCAAGTATGAGTGTGGTGGTGATAGTGTGTGTTGTGGTATAAGTGTGGTGGTGTGGCGGATGTGTGAGTGTGTGTATGTGTGTGTGTATGGTGGAGGTTTGAGTGTGTGTGGTGAAGGCGTGAGTATGTATGGCGGAGTTGTAAGTGTGTGTATGTGTGTTTGTTGTGGAGGTGTGTGTGGGAGGTGTGAGTGTGTGTGTGTGTGGGAGGTGTGAGTGTGGTGTGAGTGTGTGTGTGTGTGTGTGAGTGTGTGGTGAGGTGTGTGGAGGTGTGAGTGTGGTGTGAGTATGGTGTTAGTGTGGCAGTAACTTAGAAATTGTGTGGCTTACCCAAGTTAGTTTACTGACTCGCATTTCCCCTCTTGGTGGTGAGTGAAGGAGGGAAGTTGGAGGAGGGGTGGGTGAAGGAGGGGGAGGTGAAGGATGAGCGAGTGAAGGATGAGTGGATGAAGAAGAAGTTGGAGGAGGGGAAGGAAGGGAGGTGAAGGATGAGCGAGGAAGGGTGATGAAGAAGAAGTGGAGGAGGGGTAAGGAGGGGGAGGTGAAGGATGAGCGAGTGAAGGATGAGTGGATGAAGAAGAAGTTGGAGGAGGGGTGGGTGAAGGAGGGGGAGGTGAAGGATGAGCGAGTGAAGGATGAGTGGATGAAGAAGAAGTGGGAGGAGGGTGGGTGAGCGGGCGAGGGTGTAGTGTGTGAATGTACAGTATATGAGGGAGTATGAGTGAAGTTTACAGTGAAGTGTATTTACGAAATTTACAGCAATTGAGTGACTCCTAAACGATATGTGTTCACCAACACCTGTAAATATTACCTCCTCGTTACTGTACAGTATATGTGCCGAAGAATACACTCATTGTTTATCAGCTCGTGTATAATATATTAAAGTATTCATGGCAGGAGAGAGTCAACATAAATAATATAAGGAAGCGGAAATATGACAGCGAGAACAAATTCTTTCTTGGCCTGTCTACTGTACAAGGTTTGACCGCATTCTTTATTTTTCATACCTAAATAGTATGTACCATTGCTGCATAACTGTTGACTTCGGCTAGTTGATGGATAGTGTGACCTTGTTGATCTCTTGCTTCAGATTAAAATGAACCACTGATCTATAGTGGTACATAGAAGTTACCTCAAAGTAAACGTCACCACAGGATAGAAGAGAAGAACAGTAATAAACAGTTGGGAGAGAGAGAGAGAGAGAGACCCCGTTTCTTCTCTATAAATACCTACTCTTGGTTTCAGATCCTCGGGAATTGATATCAAAGAAAAATAGCTGGATTGACTGATCCCTGTAATAACACAATCTGGTTTTATGTTACCTTGTATACCTTTCTATTTTTTTAAGCTTGCAATAATTATTTGACGTCTTTCATATTTTTTTTCCCGTAAGCTGTTTTTGGCTGACTCGGATACAGATCGACTTTTACTCATCTCTGTACTGACTAGAAACAGTTTATTTTTGGTTCTCTCGCCAACCATCACTTTTCCTCCCCCATTTTTCCCCTCTAATCCCTCTTTCTTTCCTCTCCTGGTGTTTCCTTAGTTCTTGCCTCCTCCTTCTTCAATATCTTCACTGTTAATGTTCTCATGTTGTTTTTCGTCTTTCTTGCTTATTTTCCGGTCACTATATCTCTCCTCTTGTGTATACTGCTTCTTCTGTTTCAGTCTCCTTATTATGTCCTCTCTCCCTCTCTCTCCTTTATGTGTCCTTCTCCTTCTTCTACCTGTATTTATTTTCGTTGCTGGAATTAAATCTTCTTTTTTTCTTCATTTATTACTCTGCGCTCTGGGGCTTCACGTACCCGATGCCTCGCTCAGTGTAGGTGACTCCTTACCCCTGACACTCAATTATCTCTACGTTAATATATTTTCTCGTGAGTGTGGATACAAAAAATAAAGATAGTTGAGTCGCAGTTTGGTAACGACGCCATTATGCCTCCAAATCACAACTTACAACATTCACACAATTCAGCTATCATTATCGGTAGTTTTGTCACATCACAGTTTTGTCAGAAAGGAAATGCAAGAAACTTTGTCAAAGGTTTCGAAATTAATTTTTAACTCTTTTTAGGGATGTTAAGAAGTATCTTATTTACTTAAGTGTACTGTACGTGCAACATAAATATGGCTGCTGACTGGCGATAAGAGTCTATCATTACTGTAGGTCCATTAAAATTGACACGAAGCTTTAGGAATGTTCGTCATGGGTCTCTTCTCTCTCTCTCTCTCTCTTACACACACACACACACACACACACGCGCGCGCGCACTATGCCTATTTCTGCCATAACAACCGAAGAAAAGCGTATAAGCTAAGGGATATATATATAGATATATTTCAACATTAACAACAGTCCTGGCAGGCCAAGTGGGGGTTGTCAGTGGTACCAACGACGGTCCACCAACCCTGAAAGTTGTGTCTTGACCTCCAGCAGACTGGCTACACTGAGATGCTCCCCACCCTCCACCACCACCCACGTTTTCAGAGGCAGTTTTGTTTTTATGCTGCAACTCTCTCTCTCTCTCTCTCTCTCTCTGTCTCTCTTTCTGTCTCTCTCTCTCTCTCTCTCTCTCTGTCTATCTTCTGTCTCTCTCTCTCTCTCCCCTCTGTCTCTCTGTCTCTCTCTCTCTCTCTCTCTCTATCTCTCTCTCTCTCTCTCTGTCTCCTCTGTCTCTCTATCTTCTGTCTCTCCTCTGTCTATCTTCTGTCTCTCTTCTCTGTCTCTCTCTCTCTCTCTCTCTCTCCTCTCTCTGTCTCTCTCTATCTCTGTCTCTCTTCTGTCTCTCTCTCATGTCTCTCTCTCTTTCCTCTCTGTCTCTCT